GGTACTCAACATTGCCTTAATCAACACCTCTTCTCTACCAGTAGACAATGATTTTGACTTCCATGAAGTTAACCGCTCTTGCAAATTAGATAACAAAAACTGAAAAACATTGCGCTTAGACCAACCTATAATAGCCGACACACTTAAATATTGGGCATGCATTCCTTCCACCTGCAGACCCAAACATTAGCTGAGTAATCGGAGTAAGTCAGGTGGAGTATTCTTTGAGAAAAAAATAGACAATTTGGCAAAATTCACTTGTTGTCCAAACGCCCTCTTATAATCGGCCAAAATTCTTTTCAAAGAAAGGACCTCAGATGTCACGGCCTCACAATGGAATCATCTGCAAAAAAGAGATAAGAAATTGAAGGAGCATCCCTACAGATTTTGATTCCTATCAAAAGCCGTGCTTGCTGAGTCGGAAGAAAAGCCAGAGAAAGGGCTTCAGCATAGATGATAAGAAGATATGGGGAGAGCGGATCACCCTAGCGCAACCCCCGAGTAGGATGAAAAAATCCAACTGAGTTCCCATTGATTTTAAGGAATAAGATACTGTAGATACGCAAGCAGAAATCATCTTGAACCAGTGATCATTCAAACCCAGCCTATGTAGCATTTGAAACAAAAACGCCCATTCAATCCTGTCATAAGCTTTACTCATGTCAAGTTTCAACGCCATAAAAACTTTTCGCCCCTTCCGCTTATTTTTTAAATAATGCAAGATTTCATGAGTAATGAGTATATTGCATTTTCTATGCCAAAGAGACCTCTTGCAACTTTGAATGCATCCATTTGGCAATCATTTTTTACTCTCTCATTAGAATCTGGAACCATTCTTTAGAGATATTTATAAATCCCTATTTTCACCTCTACATCTAAATGGAAACTTGGACTATACTGGAATTAGGGATTCAGAAAATATGCTGTCACGTGCAAGGGTTGATGAAGTTGAGATGCCCATCCTTCATCAACGATCTTCCAAATAGGTTTATACCTGCAAAATCGTTAATTTAATGTAAGTCTAGTAATTTTCAGTTTAACTATTTAAAAATAATACTATATTCTAAACAATAAAGAACTCTATTACTCTTTTAATTTTTAAATAAATTAAAACTTTACCACTTTTTGAATTTCCTCATTGGCACGATCCATTGTTTCATAAATGAATCCCATAGCCGGTCTCTCACCAGAATCCACTAATCAGGGTACTTTAACAAGAGCTATTGCAACTTTTAGACAATTAGCAACATTTATCCAAAAGTTATGATTGTCTAAAGTCACGCCTTCAATTCTTTTCCTTTTATGTGTCTTTGCAAACTTACCAGACTTTCATTTAGAGGATGTAAAAAGATTCGTCAATTCTCCTTTTAGTTAATTAAGGCGCTGCAAAGTTAATTAAGAAGTGGCAAATCGCGTCATTGCAGATCTAATAAGCTCTTTGCCATTTATGAATCCTTCATCCAATGGTTAATTATACACCTCGAATAAATGTATGAAACAATCATCCTTCCCTTTTCAATTGTCACACGGTGCATCTCAATATTTTTCTCAAAATCCTCCAACATCAAATCAATGCAGTGAGTGTCACAAGGTGTCCAAAATAACTTTTTCCTCTTTTCCATCAACATCTCTCTAGCCAATTTGTAGTTAGAAACATTATCAGACACAACTTGTATAACATTTTCTTCTCTAACTTTTTCCATAATCTCATTTAACATTTTAAAAACCATTAAGCTAGTTTTTGAAATATCAGAAGTATCTCGGGTTGGCAAAAAGAAAGTTCCCGATGGGCTATTGACAAGAAAATTACATATTGAACATTTCCTCTTGTCAGACCACCCATTTGACATAATAGCACATCCAGTCTTCACCCATTCTTTTCTGAAATTCTCGAGTATATTTAATGTTTCACACACTTCCTTCTTCAAGACTGTCTCTCTGATTTCATGATAAGAAAGAGAAATGAGCTCCCTTCTATACTCTCCAATCCTTTTAATCATAAGAGGAAACATGGGATTGTTCATACAATTGAATAATATAGCACTTGTATAAAAAAATCGGTCTATGATTTGACATACTGCATTTCTCTCATCCTTTTTAAATTTCTCATTCATTGTTGTTTGTCGTGCCGAATTCTTTGTTACAAATCTATCTAATACACCACATTGTTTCAGCTTCTTTGATTGTTCTAAGGCTAAACATTCACCATCATCATCATCATCATCATCATTGATATCAACACCACATAAATTTTTTCTCTTCTTTTTCTCTTCTTTTGACTTTCCTCTAAATGAGCTTAAAAAAGTTTTATAAATTATTTTCTCACTTCTTTAGGCACTTGTGGACATAGCTCAACATTTAAATGAGTGCCAGCCAAGTGATGTTTATGTTGAAAAATACCCCCAGAATGGGAAGTGTTACAATACTGACACTTCACTTTTTTTGAAGTCGTATCCTCAACCCCATGTTCCCATCCGGGATCTAATCTTTGTCCCAGAGCATTTTTTCTTGTACTTTTACCAAAACTTCCAAATGTTGACATCTATTGCAATATTCATCTAATTCAAGTTATTCAACTAATTAAAAGTTTTGCATTCAGCACTCAACAAATTGAAACAGGAAAAAAAAAATCAGGATTAAACTTCCTATTTTTTTCACTAGTTGCACATGGACAACAAAGCAAACGAAACAGTAGGCAAATCAGGATTACTTCACAAAAGCATAAGGCAGAAAGTTGTCTAGCATCAATTAAACTTTATCTTTTACTCCCAAAAAAGAAGGATCAATAAATGGCAAAAAGTGATGAGTTGAGTTAGTGACATCAATTGGGCAGAGGCCGGAAAAGATGCTCGTGATTATAAATCGGGTGTTGAAATCATAGCTGATTATGATGATTGGATAATATCCATTCTTGAAAAGAAAAAAAAAATAGTTAAACAACAACCAAATTATAGCATCAAGCTTGAAAATCGAAGCATAATCAAGATCATAAAACATCATTAAAACTTCTCTAATCTCTACCCAACCATTGTCTCTCTAATAAAAGGAAGAAAAAAAAGAAAAGAAGAACACACCTATTGAAAGCCTCGAGAAGCTGTTTGCTCTGCTGTGCCGCCTCTGAAGTCTGAAGTCTCACCAAGTCACCAAACAATTGCTACTGCTAGGGCTTCACGTTGTATACTTGTGTGTCTTTGTTAATTAATTTAATTGTTATTATATAATTATATTTTATCCATATGTTATGTGAGACTTTGGGTCCAAAGTGTGTTAGGCCTCTTTTATTTTGTAGTCCAACAATCAAAAGAACAAATCAGCCCAAAAATAAAGGCCAAAGGCCCAAAACAAGCAATTGGATAGAATCAGTGGAATCGTGTACGATTCTACCCTCGATCTTACCGTTCTACATCCAATTCTACCAAAGGCACGATTTTGTTGTGATTTAGATCGATTTTGGGTGCTAGATTCGTGCGATTCTATGACTCAAAATTGGGATTTTAACAACCATGGTCTTAATTCATCGATGGGTAGATTCATCCGATACTGATGGTCTTCGATACCGATGGTCTCTGCGGGATCGGAAGTCGTCTATTGTGAAGCGAAGTAGCTAAATCTCTGTCGCCGGCATCTGAGTCCGATCTGCAGCTGCTTACTCCGGGAAGCCACATAACTCACGCCACTTGTAAGTCTCACACGCAGCTACACCCATTGAATCTGATCATCGGCGTTGTACTCACCATCGCGAGAAAAGTAACCATCCTCATCCGTTATCATAATTCTCTTTCACTTACCATTCAACTCGTCACGCGTAGCTATGCCGAATCTGCGTTGTCCTCACCATCACTGAAATAATCTCTTTCGTCTTCATTGGAACTTTTTTCATCATTGTTTGTCTCGTCCTTAAGGCCGTTTTCTTCATCGTCGTTTTGAAGTCTTGAGGGCGCTTCTGGTACATGATTTGGGAATAGGGCCGATTATATGTTGTATATTAACAGACATTTTCAAACAAATTAACAAAACATAAAGAATTATATTGAATCTCTGTAATTATTCTTGTGAACTTTGCGTTAAACTTTTTCCCATGTAGGGAAGACCAGCCGCGTTCTAGCGCTGGCAAGTTTCAGGTTTGTATACGTCTGCGTGTCACAACCAACACGATGGTGTCAAGTTAAATGGTAATTTCGTTTTTCATTAATGCCTCGATTTGTCATTAAATGCAACAAATAATAGTTTAAATTTTCTTACTTGAGGGAGTTTCTTGCAATCGAGTCATAGTTTAGGGGAGTTTATTGCAGTGAGATTTGATATCAAATCGTATATTTTTGAATAATTACTTATGTAGGACCACTTTCTTATTTGTTAACCAATTAAAATAAGAACAATACTTAGGTCCTCATTAGTGAGGATCTAGATCATATTCACTGTTGATGTGAACTATTTATGTCCATATTTAATTATCAAATTCAATATGGTCGGTAGATAGATATTTACTTACGGATGGTGATTTGATTACCTTTTATGATTTTGTAATTAAAATAGAATGTGTTCATTTATTATTGGTACACATCAGCTGTCAATATGGTGTAGTGAAGATCTAATTATTGTTCAATAAAATAAGAGTAATGATACTTGCACCGATTTGTTACAGTGAATTACTATTTATACACAATACATGTAAGTGGAGGGCCTCAATTTCTTATTTGTGTAATTTGTTATAGTGAATTTCTAAACTTATTACTTTTAATTAATTCATTTATACATAAATAAAGAAATGAGCCTTCTACTTATATTATACATAAATAACCGACCAACAACATTATTCACCGCAACAAATTGATAACTCATAAAATAAATAATTAAAATGAGTAGGTTCACAATTCACGTTGATTACCCTTTAAACAGAGTGACAATGATGAGACACACAAGGCCAGCGCAAATCTCGTTGTGTGCCACCACCGTGCTGTCATCTTGCTGTAAGCACTTTTCTCTCTCTCCTGGTACACACTACTTGTAGTTTCTTCCTACAGAGAACCCCCTGTTTCTCTCTCTAAGGCTCTTTCTAGATACACGTCATATACACACACATACACACATCATTTCCGCGTTTTCTTGACACTTTCGCATACCTTTTAATTTCCATATAGTATAACCATCGTCCCCGCAAGCTAAACATTTATCTATCTTAGAAGCTCAAGGTTTTGATCACATGGAAGATCACAAGGAGGTCCTCTTTCTCTAACTCTCTAAATCCTTACTGTTTAAACTCCTACTATTTTGTATGTGCTGTTTCGTCTTTGATGATGCGATTTGTGCTTCGAATCAAAGAAGCAGAAATACAGTTTTAGGTTTTATACATCTGTATGTGTTTGTGTGTGTATTGCACACATATATATACTGATATGATACTGTAATCGGAATTCGAATTTTCAATTTTACATTTGTGGAAGTCGTACGTGTTTGGCGGACTGGTGTTATGCATCTAAGCTTGTACTTCTCTGTGATTTTTTCAGATCTATTGATTAGTCATTTGCTTGAAATTTTGGGGTTACGGAGATGTTTGTGTTTCAAAATTTTTGTTTTGGTCAAAACTTTTAATTGATTTGGTCAATAGCAATCATCACACTGTATGAAGTTGAGAATCAGTCAAAAGTTTTCAATTTTTGTTTATATTTTTAATCTTTGCCTTCTTGGGTTTGAATTCTGTTGTTGATGTCATGATCAGTTCCTTTCCTTTCAACTTTTTGTGCTTTGACAAAGTATACATGTAGAACAATTCCCTATTTCAAAATGTTTTCAATGTATAAAAAATATGATAAAATTGGGAATTTCATATACATATATGTATGAATGTATATATGTGTGTATGCATATATGATATATGTAAAGTCTGAGAAGACTTTTTTTTTTTTTTTTTTTTTTATACCAATTCAATGATTTGTACCTTAGCATTCATGTCCAATGGGTTAATAAGGGGGCATTGAAAAATTCAAAGTGTTAAGAAGGTTAAAGATTGAAATTTCTAAGGATGGGTCATTAATTTAGTTTTATAAATTGAAAACAAAGAAATTTACTCATTCAAGTTTTCAAGAAACTTTTTATTTTATTTTATTTAACTTTTGGGAGAAAATTTTGGGGCTAAATGTAATATTATTGACAACTCACTTTCTTTAGAAAATGAGTTTTTGGGAATGATACAGAACAAGCCCTTGAAGTTAATTAAGAATCAGAAGTACTGTTGGTTCTTTTGGCGTGATCAATTATAAATTTCTATTTCATGCAGAAGAATGCGCCATGGCTATCAGTGCCCCAATTTGGGGACTGGGACCAAAAGGGAGCATTGCCCGACTACTCTCTGGATTTCTCAAAAATAAGAGAAAATAGGAAACAAAACAAGAGGGATGTATCTAGAGCCAGTCTTGGAAATGAAGAGGAGCTCATCTCAACCGCTAGTAAAGTGAATACAGGCCACAGCGATCATCAACATTACCATCAGGAGATTCAGAACCACACTCCAACTGTAAGATTCTTTGTGTAGCTTTGGTAGTTTGATTTAATAATTGCGTTCCATATATAATTTAATGCAGCTATGTGGGTAGTTGTTGTTAGTTATCAATAAGGAGACATAGTAAATAATATTTATGATGGTTGCAACTAGAATCACCTGGATACCTTATTATAATAGACTTCGATGACACCTGGTCAACTTGGTTGCATCAAGAGGAATCAGATTGTTTACGTGACTAATTATAAGGCTTCTCAAAGTTGAGATTTTTTCGATTGAAGTATAGAATTGGAAAAAAGAGTACCCCATTAGAGGCATAATTCAATTTTTTTTTTTTTTTTTTTGCATTTCTTCTGAGGTATATTTATGTCTATATTTGCTCATGAAATTGTAGGTTGAGAGGGGCTTTTGTGAAAGGATATTAATTTTTATGTGCTATATATATATGTATATATATGTATAGAATTATATTTTGACACTTTCAAGTGTGGTTTTAAGCATGATATTAAACTTCTGTGATACCAAGCAGTGCTAATCATGCATTTCCCCAAATCTAACTCTAAAAATCAGGATAAACAACAGTATTTTTTTTTCCCGAGAATGTGTTAAACCAGTGGATTGGGGATGATCATCTGGACATTAATTGCAATATTCTCAAGTCATATTTGATAAAGTACATGTAAAAATCTCTGATAGGTTTTGAACTCGTAAACTTACGAAAAAAATAATTTTGCAATCAGAATTGTTTATTAGGGGTCCTGCCATAGCTTGCGTTATAGAGATATGTGCTCCAACAGGAAAAAAACAATTTTGTATTTGGAAACAAGCGGCGATGATCTTTATTCTTCCTGGCCACATGCAAGTAGGAGTAGTGCACATGCATTGAATATTATAGCCATAAAGATATTGTTTCGTGATTCAATCTGTTTGGCTTTATTCTCTACTTTAATAAAGAAGTCGTTTTCTATATGGAAAAATTCTTGTGGTTGAGATTGAGGTTGGCCAAGGGAAGAATTTGTCACTCTGGACAAAATACTTGGTGTGTTGGCTTATTGAAAGGGAACAATTTATTTCTTAATTTAACTTAAATGGGGTCAAAGGATATCTCTTGGAAATGAAATTGTTTCATTCTGTTTTCTGTTGGAGATGAAATACATATAATATAGTTGACACAATAGTCGAAATGGAAGCACTTTGCAACACTTGATTCCGAAAATCACTTTTAACAGCCAAAATAGTTGAAAGATGTAGGTAATCTCATTTTTCTTTTGATAATTTGGACGATCGATTTTTTACATGACGTTTTATTTTAGATTATTTGAAGTGCCCCTCTAGTTCCTAATGTGCTTATTTTGTTTATTTTCTACACTGAAAATATACTTTTGGTTGATCTGGTTCTCACAAGATCTATACTTGATTTCGTCTAGCAAACACGGAGGAGCATATTCAGCTACTTCAATTGTTGCGTGAAAGCCTGAGTGAGATCCATGAATCAATTTCACACATTTTCTGACTTCCCTGCAATGATTATGTATTGGTATGCTACTCTCTTTCTTTCATATTTTAAATTAGGAATGATGATCTATTTGTAAATGTGACTCGGATTGATCTTCACTCTTCCTTTTGTCCCCTTGAATGCATTGAGCATGTTGATTAAGGATTCTTGGAGTTTCTCAGTGTTGTGAAAATGAATGAAATGGAATTTTTAGTGGAATACTTTGTGTAACCAAAATCATCTCCACTTTCAACAGTGAATTTCATCTATTCTGTAAAAAATGGTAAGATTTATTATTTAAAATTTTTAAAAAATGGTGAAATAATGAATTTCATCATTTAAATTGTTGAAATTCAAAATGTTGAAGTTTATGGAAATGAAATTTATCACTAAAGTGAAAGTAAATATGATGTTGTGCAATGGAAAAAAAAAAAAATGGAAATATTTCTCTTAGGAAGATTAATTAGTTGATGCACTTGGTTACATATAAATATTTACAAAATGTGTCCCTCCAAATTATCTTTTTTCTTTTAATGATCTCTCTAATTCTTTCTATTTTTTCATTCTTATTTTTTTTCTTCTTTTTCATTCTTTTTATTCTCTTCAAAAAAATTTACATTCCATTTCTTCAGTCAAACTCTTATTTTTTATCCTTGAAAATTCTCTCGTAGTTTTTTTCTTTTTTATTTTCTTCGTTTTTCTTTTTTCTTCATCCGACACTCACGACTTATGTGTAGTAACCTGTTTCTATCTTTATTTATTATTATTATTCTCTTAATCTTTAAATTTATTACTGAAATTTTATATACTTAGGGCGTGTTTGACAATTTTTTTTTTTTGCCAAAATAAATCCAAAAAATGTGGTGATGGAACAACATGAACGGCTTTATTGATAGGAACCAAAATCATTTCCAATTACTTTTCACGCGGTTGTGATGTGAAATTTTAGCACTTTCAATAGTGAATTTCATCTATTTTTTACAAAAATGGTAAGATTTATTTTTTAAAAATGTTAAAAAATGGTGAAAGAATGAATTTCATCATTTAAATTGTTGCAATTCAAAATGTTGAAGTTTATGGAAATGAAATTTATCACTGAAGTGAAAGTAAATATGATGAAGTTGTGGGGTGAAAAAAAAAAAGGTAAATATTTCTTTTAGGATGACTACATATAAAAATTTACAAAATGTGCCCCCTTGAAATAATCTTTTTCTTTAAATAATCTCTCTAATTCTTTTTATTTTTTCATTCTTACTTTTTATTTTTTCTTTTCTTGTTTTTCACTCTTTTTATTCTCTTCAAAAAAAAAAAAAAAAAAAATTCATTCCATTTCTTCAATCAAACTCTTATTTTTTTTCTTTCAAAAGGGTTTTTTTTTTTTTTTGGCACTCACTTATGACGTATGTGTAGTAACCTATTTCTATCTTTATTTGTTATTATTCTCTTAATTTATAAATTTATTACTGAAATTTTATATACTTAGGACGTATTTGGCATTTTTATTTTTATTTTTTCAGAATAAATCAACCACAAATAAAAAACAATAGAAAAAAAAATACAAATTCTATTTCATATGAATAAAAAATATAAAGTAGAAATTATTGCAAAAAAATAATGTCCAACCATTTCTTATTTTTTTTTATTTATTTTTTTGGCTGTACTATTTTTTAATATTTCCATTTTATTGTCCTTACTTGAAGTTATATAAGTGCGGTCTCACTGTAGAAGGGCATATTTGAAAATTTATTCTTTACCACTATAATAATAATAATAATAAAAAATTATGTTTAAGTAGATTTAGGAGTCTTAAATTACAAAGTAGTCTATTTTTAAATTTTAGTTTTCACTTTGGTTGAATTAAGCAAAACAATTACATACGGATTAAGAATAATTATTTAAGTTTAAAATGCCCTCAATCTTTTAATCCAAAATACCAAATTGTTCTTCTTAAATAAAATAATATTTGATAAATTCAGCAAAGTAATAAATGTCATTAGAACCGTACAACTGAAGTAGGGTTTGTGCTAGTAAAGAAAATCCAAGAAATCATTATCTTTTTGTTCCGTAGGATGAAATTGAATTCATTGCAACACGTTATAAAGCTAGATTTAGGGTATGTTTGATACAGGGGAAAAGAAAACAAAAAAAAAAATGATAACATTAATTTAGGAGAAAAAAGAAATAAGGAAAGGAGAGGACAGTGGTAGTTACTTGTTATGTTTGATTGATTAATAAAGAAAAATAAATGAAATGATAGTAATCATATTTGGAAGAAAGGAAAGGAAACCAATGTAATGAATTTATAATCATCCCCTTCTTCATAGAGTTTTTCTTTTATAGATATTAGGGCAAATTTGGTATTAACAAAATTTCATTAAAAATATTAGTTTTCCTTCCATCTCCTTTCACTTTTGGAAGGATAACAAAATTTACTATTCATGCCTAACTCTATCCCTCCAAATTCTTCCTTTTCATTTCCTTTCCATCCAACATTTACTATCAAATACATTTTTTTTTTTTTTTTTAATTTCCTTCCATTACCATTCTTTTCTTTTCCTTTCATTTTCATTCTACCAAACCGACCCTTATTGTACACCTTATATTCTCTACATATACATATATATTGAGATTACATGTTTATACATATAGTTTTGGTTCTTCTTTATCTATAGAATTTTTTATATTTTTTTTTAATTTTTTGGAATAAAAGGCTTTGTCAATGTGTGTTTTGAGGTGAAATTGTGTGCAAATCAACTTTTTGGTTAAATGTCCCTATTGAAGAAACTAAACATTCTTTTTTTAGTACAGGGAAATTTAACCCAATATCAAAACAAAACAAATTAGTAGTAATATTAACCCCTAAATATTAGCCCATCTAAACAAGCTCAAGATTTGAGCCACAGTTTTAAAATAAAGGCCCAACCAAACATACCAAGCCAAACAAGCCCTAAAGCCCAACTACAGAGTCAGAACACAAATTAGTGAGCTCCGTCCAATATATCTAAATTCCTAATCTCTATGTGACCTAGACTCTCTCTCTAACCCTATTTCAGTATTTCTTCTAAAATTTTTGAACTCTTTCATCTTTCAATCCCCATTCTTCTTTAACCCTCGTTGACAATTCTTGGATTCGCTCTTATAAAAGAGTATGATTTATTGGTGCATGCAATAGCACTTTTCCTAGCTTTATAGTAAAGAAGATTAGTTTCTTTAAGTGTCAAAAAGAAAATAGATAAAAACTGCCAATTAAAATTCTGTAATAATTAAGTAAAGTTTCCTATAATAGCATGGTGAAAAGTTGAGTAGAAGCAACTCATGCAAATCATCTGAATTATTTGATTCAAAAAATATATTTTGGTATTTTGAAATCAGAATATGGAGGGCATTTTAGACATCATTTTCAATACCTTTAAACTTTGCCTAATTAAATTAAACTGAAAAATAAATTTTAAAATAGATCACCTAATTCAACTAAAGTGAAAACTAAATTTTTAAATAGGTCATTCTATAATTGTGAGCTTCTAACTCTACATAAATATTTTTATAAAATGATTATTAAAAATTACAATCTTAAAGAGTTAAGTTCTAAAGAAATATGTAGTGAACAGTATAAAACAAATCCGTCAATTTGCTAGCATCAATAGAGCAATAATACTCTTTAACTTATAACTAATCTTACTGGAACTCACTGTTTCGGAAAAAATGTGGTGTGAAAGGTTGGCATGGAAAAAGGTGGAGTGAACCAAAAAAAGAATTATGTGAAAGGTTAGAGATCGGATTATAGGAGGATAACTTTTATTAATTTTCTCCAATACCACATAATCAAATTTCTTATATATTTTTTAAAATTAAAAAAATAACTTACTCTAATTATTTTATATATGGAAAGAGCATACAAAAATCATTTCATGTTTATACAAAAAGAGGCATATATGTGCTGGATGCATACCGACCAAGACCAACATTTCATGGACATTCCTTACACAAATGTCAGATAATTTATAGAGGTATCTAAATTTAAAATAAATATAATTATTTTATACATTTAGTTAACACTACCAGACACTTGGGTAGACATTTCACAAACAATCTCCATCTCAAATCTCATATCACACGCGGCTAGAGTAGTCATGCTCAACCATCTTGAAAATATCATGAAAACATCTCTAAAGAAAATGTCAAAAATATTTATTTTTAAATAATTAAATATTTGTGACCCAATAATGACCATAAAGATGTAAAATGATGGATTGTGGCGGGAGATGTGACCGGAAATGCGGAAGTCAAAGAATTTTAGGAATGCCTGGTATGTGAGACAAATAGTAAGGCGAGTCTTGAGGAAGCAGTAGACCCTAAAAGAAGAAAGGAGGTTTATTAAAAGGAGTAATATAGGTGGAGTTTGATAACTATTTATGTTTATAATTTATTATTTATATAAACATATTTGAAGAAAAATATGTTTGTTAATATTAATTTTATTTATTAATTATATAAATTTATTTTTATATGTCAATTTTATATACGGCAAAACGACGTTTATGTATTTTTATTTTTATTTATTTATTATTATTTTTTTTTTGAAAAAAATATAGAGCTAAGAAACAAAATGAACACCATCTTTTATAACTGTAGATAATCAAAAGAGTCATACATTCCACTGAAGATCAATGATTTTTTTTACGAGCACTTCATCTCGTTCTCTAACCTGCGCATGCTGCTTAACTTGCGCTGCATCTCAATTTCTAATTTGTATGCGCTCGTTCTATATATATCCAACTCTTATCTTACCCTTATACTATCTAATGATGAACATTATTGTGATATATAGAATGAGCGCATGCGTAGACTTGAGAACGAGCACATGTGCACGTTAGAGATTGAGATGTAGCACAAGTTAAGCCGCATGCACAGGTTAGAGGTGAACATTATTGTTTTGGTACGAATCCATTGATTAAATAGAAATAAGAGCTTTGAATTTATCATACATTAAACAATCCATAGTTAATAAAGATCGATAAAAAGTGTGAAGTGATGTTACATAGGCATGTGAGACCTACAAGTGATTTTTATTTTTTTAGAAAAATTGGAGTTATATAGTCTACTGTGAAATCATTTTTAGGTTGTAGTTCATATTGAGTGATGGTATAAATTGGACAAGACACTCACAGTAATGTTCATCATTATATAATATAAGGATAAGATAAAAGTTGGATATATATAGAACGAGTGCATGCGTTAGAGATTGAGATACAACGCAAGTTAAGCTACATGCGTAGATTAGAGAACGAGCGCATGCACATGTTAGATATTGAGATGCAGCGCAAGTTAAGACGGATGCATAGGTTAGAGGTGAACATTATTATTTCGGTGCAAATTCATTGATTAAATAGAAATAAGAGCTTTGAATTTATCATACATTGAACTATCCATGGTTAATAGAGGTAGATAAAAAGTGTGAAGTGAAAATTGGACTTATATAGTTTAGTCGAATTATCTTTAGGTTGTAGTTCATACTAAGTGATGATATAAATTACAAAAGACACTCACAATAATATTCATTATTAGATAGTATAAGGGTAAGATAAAAGTTGGATACATTGAGATAAAAGTAAAATTATGTGAAATAAACGCTTAATATAGCGGGATAAAAGTTATACAATCAGATTAGTTTTTCAAATAGTAAACATTATTATTTCATATGGTACAAATTAATTGATAAAATAGAAATTAAAACTTTAAATCGATTATAAATTGGCCAAATATATACTCTCTCCGTTCCATAAAAAAAGTGACAGTGACGGACTGACGATTGAAGAACCGAGACTCTTTTTATGAGACAGGGAAAATATTATAGCCATAAAAATATTGTTTTTCGTGATTCAATCTGTTTGGTTTTATTCTCTACTTTAATAGAGAAATTCTTTTCTATATGGAAAAATTCTTGTGGTTGGCCAGGGGAAGAATTTGTCAGTCTGGACAAAATACTTGGTGTGTTGGCTTATTGAAAGGGAACAATTTATTTCTTAATTTAACTTAATGGGGGGTCAAAGGTTATCTCTTGGAATCGAAATTGTTTCATTATGTTTTCTGTTGGAGATGAAATACATTCATTATAATATAGTTGACACAAAAGTCGAAATGAAAGCACTTTGCAACACTTGATTACCAAAATCACTTTTAACAGCCAAAATAATTGAAAGATCAAGGTAATCTCATTTTTCTTTTGAAAATTTGGACGATCGATTATATATATATATATATATATATATATATATATTCGTTTTATTTTAGATTATTTGAAAATATACTTTTGGTTGATCTGGTTCTCACAAGATCTATTGTTTGATTTGATTTCGTCTAGCAGACACGGAGGAGCTAAGGATTCTTGGAGTTTCTCAGTGCTGTGAAAATGAATGAAACGGAATTTTAAGTGGAATACTTTGTGTAACCAAAATCATCTTTACTTTGAATAGTGAATTTCATCTATTTTTCATCATTTAAATTGTTGAAGTTTATGGAAATGAAATTTATCACTAAAGTGAAAGTAAATATGATGAAAGTTGTGCGATGGAAAAAAAAAAAAGAAGTAAATATTTCTCTTAGAATGATTGATGCACTTGGTTACATATAAAAATTTACAAATATGCCCCTCCAAATTATCTTTTTTCTTTTAATGATCTCTCTAATTCTTTCTATTTTTTCGTTCTTATTTTTTTTTTTCTTCTTTTTCATTCTTTTTATTCTCTTCAAAAAAATTTACATTCTATCCTTATTTATTATTATTATTGTTCGCTTAATCTTTAAATTTATTACTGAAATTTTATATACTTAGGACGTAATTGGCATTTTTTTTTTCCCAAAATAAATCCATCACAAATTAAAAAAAAAACAATAGAAAAAATAACAATTTCTTTGTCATATGAAATAAAAAATAAAAAGTAGAAATGATTGCCAAAAAAACAATGTTTGTATTTTATGTTTTCAAAAATTTTTTTTTACAAGTTTTTTGAATTATTAAATTCTTTATAAATGTTGATTACTTATTTTTCAAATCGTCCTACTCCAGGAAAAAAAATAATAATAATAATTCTTATTTAATACGATACCCCTACAACAAATCCCTATTCCCTCTGTCCCACCAAAAAAAAATCCAACCTTTTTTTTCTTTGAAACCAAACATTCTTTGAAACCTTAAATCTTTAATTAATAGGAGAATATGACTTCAATGAAAATTTCATAATAATTAAGTAAAGTTACCAGAAATAGCGTTGTGAAAAGTTAGTACAAGTAAAATCCCTCAACAATGATTTGTATTCTTTTCATAACATATATATATATATATATATATATATATATATATATATATATTAAAAATTAAAATCTTAAAAAGATAAGTTATATAAAACAAATAAAGTTGAGTTATATAAAACAAATATGAAGGATGAGATGAAGATATGTTTTATCAATTTCCTCCAATATCAAAATTTTAAAATTAATTATCTTCATCATTTATGACAATGTCACAAAAGTAACTTACTTTATATACATAACCTTTAAATAAAACTTACTCTATATATGGGAAGGCCATGCAAAAATCGTGAGGTTCTTCCTTCATACAAGGTCCGTACAAAATTTATCTAAATACAAGTTGCATTACATGCTATTTTATGCTATTTCCGATAATATACTTGGGTCAAGAAGTTGAATATAACTTTGAACTATATATATATATATATTGATAAATGATGAAAGTATATATATATATCAATATCATAAATACTTACTCATGAGCCTTGCTTTTATGCTAGAAACTAGGAAGAATTCGACAATTTTACAAATGAGGCATATGTGTGCTCGATACATACCAACCGGGACCAAGACCAACATTTCATGGATATTCCTTACACAAATGTAAGATAACTAAATTTAAAATAAATTTAATTATTTTATACATTTAATTAACACTACTAGACACTTGGTTAGACATGCACTTCCCAAACAATCTCTGTCTCAAATCTTGTATCACACACATCTAGAGTATCCATGCTCAACTATCTTGGAAATATCATGAAAACGTCTCTAAAGAAAATGTCAAAAATATTTGTTCTTAAATAATTATCAGAATCATCTTCAACTATGATCTGTTTAAGGAAAATCAAATATTTGTGACCTGATAATCAATATAAAGATGTAAAATGATGGATTGTGGTGAGCGACGTGACTGGAAATGTGGAATTTAAAGAAATTTAGTAGGGCGAGTAATGAAGCGAGGAATCTTGCTTGAGCAGTAGACCCTAAAAGGAAGAAAGGAGGTTTATTAATAGGGGAAATATAGGGGCGGTTTGACAACTATTTATGTTTTTATAAATAGATTTTGAAAAATAATATGTTTATTAATATTCTCTTTATTTATTAATTATATAAATTAACTTATATACCACACATGCTAATTTTTTGCATTTTTATTTTTATTTTTTAATTTATTATTATTTTTGAAGAAAACATAGAGTTAAGAAACAAAACAAATATCATCTTCCGTAACTCTAGATAATTAAGAGAGCCATACATTCTACCGAAGATTAGTAGTTTTTTGACTAGCACTTCATTTATTACTAAGGTTGTGAGCAACTTTGTTGAGGATTTAGGAATCTAATGAATAGAGAATAATTTATGGTGCTCCAGCAAGATGTTGCTCGTCCTCAACCTCTCATTGTCATCTGATACCGCCGTGATGGAGTTGTTGTAGTCGCCGCTACTGGCATCGTCCATCATCGAAACCCCATCCTCTGGAGATGATAGTAGTGGCGAGCCACACCTAAACTTGAAGAGTTGCGGTGAATTGTGTAATCGAATAATTTTGATTGGTTATTTAAGCAAAATACAAACAAGTGGAGGGCCTTACTCCTTTATTTATGGCATATATAACTAATTAATTAAAAACTGTATGTCTGTCAATTCATTACAACAATTCGGTATAAAAATCATTTTCTTAGTCATATTGTTAGTTGATTTGACCATGGATATGTATGCTTCAAATATTATTAATAAATAAATAAAAATAGTTTCACGTCCTAAAAAAAAAAAAAATCTTTCAATTAAGTCTTCCATTTTTCCCAAAATAAGTATTTAACTTTTTTTGAGAATAATTTTTATTATATTAGTAGTGATTGAATTATCAAATTTACCCCTACTAAGTCCACAATGAATGTACTGTGATGGTTTACTTTATTGGTTCAATACAATAATGTTTAAATTGGTAATATTACAAAATAATAGTAATAATAATTACATTAACTTTTCAAATATGACAAGTATTAAGTGACAGATAAAAATGAAAAAGTGGACACTTATTTTGGTACCGGGCGAATATTTCTTTCTTTTAGGCTATATTTGGTACAATGAAAAAGAAAAGAAATGATAACATTAGTTAGGAGAGAAATGGTAAAAAAGGAAATGAGAGGATATTGTTAACCTTGTACTGTGTTTGGATTTAATGAAGGAAAATAAAAGAAAGATAGTTTTCATGTTTTGGGAAACAAAGAAATTGTTCTATTTAATGAATTTACTATTGTACAATTTTTCATAGATTTTTGTCTTTTATAAAAATACCAAGATAAGGACAAAATCGGTATTAGAAAAGTTTTATTAAACTTTATAACCTTTTCCTTTCATTTCCTTCCATTTTCTCTCATTTTTAAAAAGATAACAAAACTCACTCATAATGTCTAATTTGTATCCCTCCAAATTCCTTCATTTCCTTTCTTTTTCTTTAATGATAAACACAATATAGCATTCTCCTCCCTCAACTTTTTAATTTTATTTTATTTTATTTTTTTTTGTCTTTTCCTTTCATTTATCTCCCACTTAGTTACACATCCTATTATATCTCGAAAATAGAAAAAAAAAAAAAAAATTAACATTTCATTTTTCTTTCTATTTTTTAATTTCTTTTTTTTGTGGAAATCCTCTAACTATGTTTGTAATTAAATCCACCAAACCCAAAATATGATAAATTTTTACTCGGGTTTCTCACCGTTAATTTAGTTGATAGATGAATTTGAGAAAGAAAATTCAAGAATTTGAATTTTTATTCATTTTATTCAGGGAGATGTAATTTATCCTATTACTTTGTAATTTTTTTTGAGAGCGAATTACAAAACAACCACTCTTCCCCCAAAAACTTTATTGAGAGGGCATGTTAACCTAACTCCGTTATGGTGATCAATCAAAGCAATTTTCTGGACAAAATTACCCTTTCGGTCAAAACACGCGCGCACATGGCTTCCGATTAACTTCCGTTTGGTCCTCTTCATCGCGAGATGAATCGTTTCAAACCCGTCGTTTCCACCTCCGTGACTGTCCCGATCGCCGGCTTCGGCGAGAACCAGAAACCCCATCATCGGCAACACCGGTGAGCAAAGAAACCCCATCATCGGCTTTGGATGATGTCGGCCGTGATGGAGCGACGGCGAGCTCGGCTTTGATGATGTCGGCTTTGATGGAGCGACGGCAGAGAGGACGGATGGTGGTGAGAAGATGGGCTCGGCTATGGAGAGCTCACCCGTGAATGACCCCTATGATTCTGGAAATTTATATGTGAGATAATGTTCTTGTTATCTCCTATGATTCTGTTCTGGGTTTTAATGGGTGTTTCGAATTTTGCAAAAAAAAAAAAGTAACTTTTTGAAAATTTCAACAGCCTAAAGTCAGCAGATCAAATGTTAAAAATTATCTGGATGCTTCAGGGCTTTTTCTTTGTGGGTTGTCTCTGATATTTCCTTGGAAATTTTGACTTAGGTGTGTTTGGTAGGGTTGATTCGGAGGGATTGGGAGAGAAAAGAAAAGAGAGGATAGTGTAAGTGTGTGTTTGGGTAAGTTAAGTGGAGAGATAAGGAGAGATAGGGACCCTATCTTTCATTTGCTTTCTTCTCAATTTTGAGGAGATAGGGAGAGATAGGGAGAGATAGGATAGTGATTTTAGTGGTATTTTGATAATATCAAAATTAGCTTCCACAAATTAATACACAGATCTATTATTCCATTCAAATCCCATGGTTATGAAAGGATAAAAAAGTAATTTGTCTATTATCCTTCTTTTCTTTTCTCTCCTTTATCTTATCTAAACAAGAATAATCATTCTTTCTTTTCTTTTCTCCCATTTCTATCCAAACACAAATAGAAATTATTACTATCATTTCTTTTCTTTTCTTCTCTTTTCTTACTAAACTATCATTTCTTTTCTTTTCTCTCATAACTAATACTATCCGAACACACCTGATTCTGTTTAGATTCTTCTTTACCTTCGTGGACTTGAAGTTTCATCAGATTCAATTAGTAATCTCAACTTGTTCCTCGTTGAGATTGAATGGTTAGAACGGTTAGTTTTTCAATGATTTTGTTTTTGTTCAGTCCCAGTATTTTGTTTAGAGTATATATATATTTTTAGATTGTTCAAGGTCTGAAAATTTCATTTATCAATTTCTGTATAATTTTTAAGACCAATTCAGTTCTGATCTTGATTCTGGGGATGAATATTTATTTAGCTTCTG